TATTTGCACATCAAGTTGGTAAAGGATATTAAATTTTGTATTTCTGGGAGAGGGGAGGGAAGACGGTATTGGTATAGCCTCGTCAGAGCTCAGAAGCTAAGCAGGGTTGCTCTTGGGAAACCACCAAGGAAGGCTCTGTAGAGGAAGGCACTGGCAAAGCACCTCTGTCCCTTGTCCTGAAAGCCCCTTGCTGGGGTTGCCATAAGTCGGCTGAGACTACTTGGCAACACTTTACATGCGTGCACACATTGCTGGGAGGGGACCATTCAAACCGCTGCACAACTTACAAATATTTGAATCCTGCAAAGTTCTACGACGTTACCTGAGGCTAAAATGTTAGATTGAATGGCAACCCACCTGCCCACATTTCAGTTTGCCTTTTTCTCTCTCCTTCAAACCACAGTCTCCCATGCCTTATAAATTGTTTTCAGAAGTTCAGACGTGGCTTTCCCTGTGACAGAAGCCCAAATCCCTTCTCAGCCAAGTCGCACTGCTCTCTGGAATTTGGCCCATGACTTTTTCAAATAGTTGCATGATTGGGATGACTCCCCAACTATTTGTGATGGAATGGTTGAACTCCTCTCATGACTCTCCACTACGGTGGAGCAAGTGTGGGTCTTAGGCATACTTCTTTGGTACCCCCAAACTCTGTCAACGACATAATGCTTGTGTATGGCCCATACGGATTGGCCTGTCTGCCCTAGATAGGGTTGCTAGCTCTGGGTTTGGAAACACCTGGAGATTTAGGGGGTGGAGCTTGAGTAGGGTGGGGTTTGGGAAGGGGAGGGACTTCAATGGAGTATAATGCCAGTATAGAGTATATTGCCAAAGCGGCCATTTTCTCCAGGTAAACTGATCAATTGTAATTGCAGGCCAATCTCCAGCCAACACCTGGAGGTTTGCCAAAGAACAAAACACTGTGCTCAACAAAAAAAAACAACCCTCAAATCTTAAACAATTGTATCAAAATGTAATGTAGAGGACAGAGTCCAATGCAATTCAAATACTGTGATGAAATTAGATATAGAAAGCCCTGTTGTACATCCAAAAGACCGATATTGTAAGGCTTTTGGTTCTGTTTTTGTGAAGAAGCCTCGGGCGAAACGCGACTTGTTAACCCGCTGGCTCACGCGTAGAGAAGAATATTGGAGGAACCTACACTAGTTCGTCCACCAGACTCCAGCGAATTTTTTTATAACTTTATTTTTTTAACTTTTGCAACCAAAACTATACAAATCCATATGGACATTTCTGAGAAATACAATATAGTTCTCTCCTATCAACAACTATCAAGAACAGTCAAAAAATACAAATTAAGCATATTTATCAGGTAAGGCACTATAGTCATCTTATCACCAACATAATCAAAAATCTAAACCATTTTTTCACAACGCAATCCTTATTTGAGTTTTCTGACATTAATAGTTGTGTAGCCAGTTTGTCCATTGCTACCATGTCCCACAATTTTAAAAACCATTGATGTATTGTAGGAACTTTTGTCTTTTTAAACCTTTTTGGGGACTCCTTAAAATTTGAAGACTGTGCTCTATGTTATTAGAGTTCTGGTGTAGGAGTTGCTAAGAGATCGGGTGTGGTCCCGGGTATCTTAAAATATCTGTGTCTTTTGGATGTACAGCAGGTCTGAGGTATTTTTTTGTAGACCACAGTGTTTTGTTCTTTGGCCTACTTTCCCTGTGCTGCTCTTTGTTTTTTGGTGGTGGTGGGGTTTATCACCAGGAGTTTGGCAACCCTTGTCCTAGACGAGTAAAGTGTCATTTTATTTTCCACAAGCCCCGCAGGACAGAGTCTCTGGACTCCACAGAGCACCAGGCACATAGCGTGGCACCATCACAACATTTCCCACAAGCAGACCTGTCATCAGCAATGCTTGCTAGAATTCTGCAAGCTCTTATTCGAAATTATGTCTTTGGTCTCACCTGAAAGGCCTGCCAAGAATCCGAATTTCCGCTCAGGTGTCTGTTCATAGGTGCTCCTCAGACATCTAGTCAGCTGGCCAGGTGTGGCGAAGCGGTTCTACCCTGATGTAGATGGGTCTGAGGATCTCAGTAGTAGTATAGCTTTCTTGGGCAACCAAGGAGGTCCCTTCCAACTCTTATGATTCTATGAAATTGATTTCGGTCTACTTTAAAGCCTGTGATCTCTGTGAAGAGAACTTGAAGTCATTGTTCAATCTTTTACTTCTGGATTATAGATTCAGGTGGGTAGCTGTGCTGGTCTGAAGCAATGGAACACCGTTTGAATCTAATGGCACCTTCAACAAAGTTTAATTCTGGGCATAAGCTTTCGTGTGCATGCACACTTTGTTGAAGGTGCCGCTGGACTTAAACTTTGCCATTCTGGATTTTTGAAATGCTTTTTATTGAAAATGTTGGTCTTTCCTGCCGTTCACGGCATTTCTCAAGGTAGGACAAAAGACACAGACTGGTCTAAGGTCACCCAGCAAGCAAGGACTGAACGAAGGCCTTCTAAGGCACATATTCCACCCAATGGAGCACACCAAACCTGTAGAAATTAGTCAGCCTTGAGAAAAACGTGAAGGACAACCTTCAGACGTACATGTATTTTTGCATATGTGAAAACATACAGTGTACGCATTTGATGTAATCTCAAAAGGGCTGAAAAAATGGTTATCAGAACTGAAGTGAAATGGGAGCAGTACATGTCTTCACCAGTGAGACACTAAAAACTAGTCATCAAGTTGCCAACTGCCTTGGGGGAAAAAAATGTCCAGTCTCTTAAATAGAAGCTGACTGGGATGTTATTCACCACGCGATGTTACTTCTCTTCAAGCTCTTTTCCACACATTATGCCTCCGTTAAAGGGACAGAACCGTTTTCTCCAGGCCTGTGGGCAATCGTAATCCTGTGGCACCGAGTTCAGATTCCAGAAAAGGTGCCTCTGAACTACCCTCAGGAAGGGGATTGAGCTGTGTGTGGGGGGGGAGAAACAGGAGTAGTATCTCAGACGTAGGAATTGCAGGGGGGGCAATGAAAAGCTGCATCGCTCTCCATTATTTATTAATGTCTCCTCATAAATCCTTCATCGGCAGCACCTGGAGCTTTTTGTTTTCTCAGATGGCTGGAGACGACATTCATCAGGGCCAGATCCCTGAGGCGCACGGGTGCTAGCCTATCCCCGTGAATCCATATCTGCCTGTGGAAATCTGCAAGCTTCAGGGACTTTGGCTCTGCTCTGATTCCTGCCCCCAGTCTTAGTGTGAAGCTGCCAACTTGATCGGTGAGGCCTGGGGTTTCCAGGGCACCCCTGGCCCCCAGCGGGGGGTTGGGGGTAGAGTTGCCGGATTCAGGTTGGGAAACTCCTGGGGATTTGGGGATGGAGTCTGGGGAGGACAGGGACCTCAGTGGGGTACAGTGCCACAGAGTCCAGCTTCCCAAGCAGCCATTTTCCTCCAGGGGAACTGATCTCTGCAGTCTGGAGATGAGCTTGTAATTCTGGGGGATCCCCAGTGTTGGAAATGTGCGTGTTGCAAGGTCTAATTCAGTCATTATAGGGTTAATCTGTTTACCTTGTGTGCTATAGACTGACCTGGAAGGGAAACCTGGCACAGAGCCAATGGGAAGATAGCCCGGGCATTCTAAGTCTGTGTACTCACAATCATTGGTTAATGCATTCAGGC